TCCCAAAATGAATGGGGCCCTGGCCGATCGTAGCACCCACTGGGGATCCACCCAAAAGACCTTCATTTGTCATTCAGGTGCCCGCCCACTTGTCCGTCCACCCGGTTTTTCATTGCTCCAAGTTGGCTTTATTTACTCCAATGGAGCATGACGACTTTCCCGGCGACGATCACAAGGACCCGCCCTCTATGGACAGTTTTCAAGAGGTTGGCGACATCATTTCCCAACGACTCTACGACAACAAGTTGACCGAGTACTTAGTACACTTTTTGTACTACAGCCATAAAGCTCACTATTGGTTGCCCGTGCGGAACTTCAAGCAACAGCCCCCGATGTTCTCACACGCTACGAACGCAAGTTGCAAGACCAGCCGGTACCTTTGGCTCGACGTCGTACTCGAGTCCAGGTTCCACCATCAGATCGTTAGCTTCGCCCTTGACCCGGCTTGACTTCATAAAGAGGGGGGGGTGTTACGAGCTACGCCTGCACACGGGCCCCATTTCAGGGGCCCGACATTGCTGAGGGTCCCCCACGCCGCGTGCCCATCAGACACGCTGTCGCACTTTTTCCAGTCGAGCCCCTTCGGGCGACCAGAAATCCAACAGGATGTCACGCAGGGTTTGGTTGATGATTGCAATAAATTAAATAAATTAAATAAAGCAAATCCCTTCCTATTGTGTGCGCTCGGCTTCGAGCGAGACCCTTCAATTGCGGTCTTCGCCGGTCCCCGGTCTCGGAACAACAAGAATCATGCAAATATTAATCATAAAATTTTGGTATGTCATGCATGCATCAATTTTGCCAATTTTCTGATTTTGACAACTGCGACAAGGATCATCAAAGAACATGAACATCAAGCAAAAACAATGTAGAAGATGCATGACTGACAAACTTGAGTAGTCAGAAGGATAAATGAGGGAAGAATGAGAACTCATAATAATCTCAGAAAGTACACATGAAGAGAGCATGGCCAGCACTAGTCAAGAGTCCTCAGTCATCCCTCTTAACCTCACACTCAATCTCTCATTTTGCTGTTTCTTGTGCTTTTGGCCATGTCTTCGTACTCTCTGAGATAGTGGTCTTTGGATGTTGAGCCACGTGAACCCTATGAGCTCTGAACGCTTCCGTCCAAGTCCCATGATACGAAGGTCAACCATGGCACAAACCTCCTCCCATAATGTAGGAAGGTATGGCTGAGAGAAGATCCCTCGTCTGAGGTGCTGGAACTCAGATGGTCCGATCACCGACTCGTAGTCGATCGCTGCAGGAGAAATGTACCTCTTGGTCAGATCTACCAAGTCTCCCCAACAAGAACCATCTGTGAGAGTAAAACGAACCAAAGGCTTGGGGTAATCCGTGTAGAGCTTCGGCCCCGAAGCTGTGAATCAGCCTCAGCCCGCTCTCATCTAACTCTCTCTCCCTCTCTCTCTAATATCTCACAGCCGCATGCTGACCCTTACACACGCAATTGCCTAGCCGCCGTCATAAACTTCCCCACCGGTGCAAGAAGTAAAAACGTCCCGCTGGCCACATGCTAGCTAGTCTAGACGCGTGTGCATAGCCTCCTGCTCGAAGAGGGGAAAGTGGTGTCGAGTGACGACATCACAGGGAAACCCTTCTCGGCGCGCTGCACTACTCAGGTAGATGACTTCAACGAGTAATGGCGAGAAATCATGCGCCCCTCCCTTCTCTCGTCTGACTTCCCCTCTCTCCTCCCTCACGTCACCATACCCTCGTGTCCTTCCCTCTCGTAGTCGCTCGCGTCTCTCGTTCTCTTCGAGATGTCCCTCTGCTGCGCTTTGACCCTCCTTTGGTTTACCAGCCTAGCGGTTCCGGTTCCTCTGTCTTCGTGAACTGGCCTCTAGGCCATCCTCCACTGATCCAGCCGGAGGGTGGTCCCGTTGCCATTGGTCCAGACCGTGCCAGGACTAGGTCGTGGCCTCCAAGTCGCTTGCGTCGCTCTCTGCTTCCGTATCGGGGTCCAAAAGTTGTTCCTCCCTCTCCGTGGTATCCGTAGAGGTCTCTGCCTCTAGGTACGAGACAGTCACCTTGATTTCGTCGGTGACTCCATCCCGCCTGCGCCTTCTCTCGGCATGGTCCTTAGCCTCCGTAATCGCTAACTGCAGGCCCTGGTCTGCCCTCATCTCTTCTTCTTTTCCCCCTTCTACGTTTACCTTCAGTTTCGCCTCTTGCTTACCATAGTTGTAGTCCAGTATAGCCGTCACCATCGGCCCTTCTCCTGACATCCGCTCCCACTTCCAAAGAAACTGGAGGCACCTTGGCCTAGAGCCATACAACCCGCTGCTACGCACCATGGTTGAGCCCTTCTCAGTTGGACCGTACGAGATGCCAGGCTGCAGAGTTCCAAGACAGCCAGGGCCGAACACTCAGAGCATGAGCATGCGGGCACAGGCAGTCCCTTACACTCACCACGCCACCTAGCGCTCTCCTCTCGGTTCACTAGTACTCGGCGTGGTGAGATTGCTCATGCCCAAGTGGCCAAATGCTTGCTCCACCCGCGCTCTTTATAGGCCCATGACATGCCGCACTTCCCCCTTGCTCTGAGCATGGGACCCAGTTGGTCTCCCCCCTCCCCCTTTTTTTTTTTTTTTTGAATTCAGCATTTTTGCGGTTTGTAAATTCAAGGAATAATGAAATGAGATAAATAAATTAAAGATGGAAAACGAAACGTTGAACCTCATCGGTCATAGCACAGGCAGCAAGCTGGCCATAGTGATCCCATAACGGGATATGAGCGGACGCCTTCCTCCTTTTTAAGATGAGTGTCGGGCTACCCCAAATGGGTACCCATGTCCGATGGTAAGGAGGGGACTCGTGACCCTGTGCAGGTGCTCCCGCCAATGTGGCCGCGGGTGCTCCCATTTTGTGGGATATTTGCCGCCTCTTACTGGTCTAGCTCACGACGACTGAAGCGGAAGGATTGGGCAGACTAGGCAACTTATAGGCTACTACCGATTTCGAAAACAGATCGTCAGCCCCCCCCCCCTTGGGAAACGGCTGAGGTAAACGATACTCAGAGAACGACTAGCAACATTGATAATAATAGTAACAATAATAATAGAAATAATAATAATATCATTAATAATAATAATAATAGAAAAAGGAAAGATGGCGCGTCAAAGTTCTCTTTCGCCGCGACCTCACTAAAACCATCAGACACCGAGGCGCTAGGACAACGATCCAAATCTATGCACGAATCCGAAGCCCAACACTGAACCTTTCCCTTTTCCCTTTCTTTTGCGTTTTCCCTTACCGTCGCCATTGCATCTACCCCAAAACACAACTATAGGGACCTGGCACGTGGCCGAGTAGACCGTGCTAACCCCGCCCTTTCTCTATCACGCTAGGCAAATCTGGCGGTCACTTCAGCTACTGACTGGCCCGCTGTAAGGCAGGGCACCGACCCTGTGCGGTGTCACTAGGAAGCCCAGTAACGGGGCTTGTCGATTCTGCATGACCCTGCGGACTGGCACCGGGTCTACAACGAAGGTATGTGGGCATACACAACCATGAGTGAGCGGATGTACGGTACGCAGCGGACTCGATACGTGAGCAGGCACTTGGTGCACAGCGGACTCGACCAGCGAGCAGGCACTCGGTACACAGCGGAGGGCCGGAACACCGTGCCCTCCGACAGTGCCAGCTAGACTTGCCTGCAGCAGAGTGCCGCCTTGAGTACACCTGGCGCACTGCAGAAATCCAGTATCCTACGAAGGCCCATGCAGCAACAGGTTCCCGAGCTGGTAACAGGTAAGTAGCGGGTCCGAACAAGCATTGGGTACTCAGCGGAGGGTCGGGACATCGCGCCCTCCGACAACGCCCCCGGAGGCCCATGGCAGCCATTAGGCCGCAGGTACAACCTCTCGAGAGCATTTATTTATTTATTTATTTGCTGTCCTATTCGTGTCGTTTCAGATGTCGTTTCGGACTTGCAATCCCCAAGGCAGTGCCTTGGGGCTGGGGACACCAGGAGGCAGGGTCAATAGAGGCGAGGTGCACATTTGGCGCCCTACTGCATCAGCAGCACGGTCGGGGCCCCTACCAGGCGTCCAGACCGTGTGGGCCGTTTCTCAGGCCAAGCAGAGGCACACCGGCAGGCCCAGCGCTGTATATAGCTGGGCCACGGCCAGGGCAGGCACACAGTTCGGGTACCTCACTTCTTGAGCGACATGGTGCTGGACTAGTGCTGCGCTGCTTAGCGTTGTGCCCAGATAGAGGTGTAGGTAGAGGACGGGCGGAGGCCATACAGGTGAGACAGCGAGGAGGACGACATCTCATCTCCCTCTCGTCTCCCTCCTTCCTCATCCTTCCTCCTTCCTACTTTCTTCTTCTTCTTCTTCTTTAGAGAGAGAGAGAGAGGTTACAGGCATAGCGCCCTGGATCTGATCCGACATTTTTGAGGAAGACATTGATTGGACACTCGGCAAGGGATTATTTTTGGACTTCGCCATAGCGATCGTGGTCTTCTCCCTTGCCTCCATCTTCAGCTCGCCTCTCCCCCCATCACTCATCCGTGGTATTTCCCCCATGTGTGTGCACAAGGAGGGACCTTTCTTCCATGTATGCGGTCCCTCCTCATCCGCTCACATGTGTGGTGTATGATGGGATATCGCGTCAGTCTCAGTCAGGTCAGACTATATCTTTGAGTCTTCCGCTGCGCTACATTGTGGCATTTTGTATGTATCGGGATGTAAATTGATTGTTGATGCTTCACTGACAATGCCTGACATTGCGTTCTCCATTTCATTCCTTTTCATCACTTTGCGCATCCTTGGCTCCATACACATTGCCCGACTTGGCATGTGTCAGAGTGTGTGTGTGTGTGTGTGTGTGTGTGTGTGAGAGAGAGAGAGAAGAGAGAGAGAGAGAGAGAGAGATGTATCTACGTGCGTGCGTTTGTGTTGTGTTGGCTTTTCTGCTCTAACTGCTGGGCTATATTGACAACCTGGCTAATTGTGATTGTATTGACTTGTGCGCAGGACGAAGAACTAGCCCAAGTAAGGGCACGTTTGGACGAGTTCATTTTGGAGAGGGAGAGGTGAGCTTCATCCATATCGATGTCCATTCCCTTTGTTTGAGAGTGTCAAGAGTTCGAAATTTACACTTCAGGGTTCTGCTTGAATTAGTTTGATTCATGGAAGGTATTTGTTTGTCGTGCTTGTCATGAGTCATATTGATGCCAAAAGAGCAGATAGAACTGTTGTGAGGGCAGATTTTGAATGATCTCTGCCCTTTTAATGTATCATCTGCTGCCGCGCCTTTCCGGAACGTTCACTTTTCTCCAGTCTCATTTGGAATCATGTGTTGTGTTTGGCGTTGTTCTGCATCTTACTTTCTTCAGTATCAAGGGAAAGAAGCGTATCTCTGAAAGTTGCACCTGCATCACAAATTCGCAAAATGCATCATGACTTCTTGTACGGGGCTGTGGTAAAGGATATGGAAAAAAGGGCCTTGCTCCACTTTCCACCTGCACAAAAGCAAGAAAATACAGCGGTGTATCTTTCCATTTTCTAGCTGAAGATTCATTCTCATTTTGCGCATTTGGTGAGTAGTGGAGCGAAGCCCAAAGGACCAAAAAAAGGGGGAAACGTTTTGGAAAACAAACATTTAAAGGAAATTTATGCTTTGTGGAGGCACGTCATGAAATCAATTTCTTGATAGCAAAACAGAAATAAGAAAAGAAAAAGGAAAAGGGAAGGATGTTTGTTACTCACAAGTCTCGTCAGGGGCCGGGTCCCACGTACGCCATTTGAGTTGGGATAGCCCAGCGGTGTGACATGTATTTCGCATGTTTTACAAATTACCATCAGTTTTCCAAGGTGTTTTTTTTCAATGTGCGAGGGAACCAGCCCTCGGCAGCGCCTAAGGGCTCCGTGTTTCCTACTTGTGCCTCCCTAAGTTAAGTCGGGCCTGCTTTTTGCTAGGGCCCTCTGTTTCGAGGAATTGGTCAGGCCCTGGGCTCTAGACAGGTACTGGGCGCCAGTTGGTTACAAGGCCCCAGCAAGCTGTGTGACCAAGTCCTTGTGAGCCTTCAAGGCTCTCCCTGGCTGCGATGTGGAATCAGGCCTCTGGTCAATGGGGAAGGACTGAGTAACACACGCCACGTCGCACAGTTGGGCTTGCCTATTGCATCGATCTTAGGTCGGTATCTGAATGGGTCCTGGGCGCAGACACTTTGGCACGAGTGGAAGCTACTGGTGGGCCCTAGTGTGGGCCAGCACTTTCCGTTGTCGGGACCTGTGGTTCCTGAATCAAGTCCCGACCCTTGAGAGAATATATGGCTAAAGTGTGCACGACAGAGGAATCCGGGAAGAGTGAGTAAGAGAGGCAGGAAGAATAAAGGAATAAAGACGGGAGCGTCGGTACCTAGGGCCTTGAAGGATGCCCAAGGCCGTTGGAGCCATTGAGCCAGAAATAGACCAATAGAATGCTGGGCGACAAAGTGCTACAGGAAGTTAGTAAAGGCGGCCCTCCTTATCAAGGGACCGTCGGGAAAATAATGCTTGTCTAAGCGCCGCAGGTAGAAGGGGGCGAACGGCGTCAAGGAAACTAAGCGCCGCAGGTAGAAGGGGGCGAACGGCGTCAAGGAAAATATTGTCGTGACACCGACACACGAGAACATAGCATGCAGCCGAGGAGGCCATTTGAATTTAGCATGAGGAGGGCCAAAGGGCCATGGACCAAGCAAGGAGACGCAAAAGACGGACTAGCAAGGCCACCCGAGCAAGTGTCGGGCCACAAGCAACCTTAAAGATGAGTGGCCTTGGGAGCCATGATAAAAAGGACTATAAAAAGAGGAAGAGAGCCTCAATTTCGAGAACCCTAGGCCTTGAAACTGAGAAGAGACCCAAAGGGAATGCAGCGGACCACAAGGGAGTGCCAAGGCCATGAGAAAAAGAGCCTTGACGACCACAAGCCACTAAAAAAGGAGGCCCACAAGCATGAGGCCCAAAGAACAGTGTGGAACGGCGACCGTGGGATCAAGATCACGCAGCAAGAAATAATCGGCACGCTTGGACATGTCAAGAGGAGGAAATTGGGATTGTCGGGGACTAGGGAATTCCAAATAAAATTGGGACGGCATGGGACCGAGTAAAAATAATCGCATTTTGGGACATGTGCCGACGGGACTACCGCCGGAGACAAGTACTGACGGGGACTAGTGCGGGACAAGTGTCGGGGATATGAGTTGTCCCAAGGAAGAGTTGTAGAGCGGCATGAGGAATAAATATTTAGAGCAAGCTGCGCCGTCAAGATCAAGATCTTAACGGTCGAGAATATTAACACCACTAGTGGGAGCAAATGGGAGAGTCTGAGAGGAAAAAGGAAGCAAAGAATTGTGAAGGAGGGTGTGGACTGCAATCTGGGATATCTCGGATCAGCCACCCGAAAGAAAACGGAATATTGAGGAGGCTCCATGAGAAAATAGGCTACCTAGAGAAAATCGGAGTAGGAGGGGCCACGGTTTGGAGAAAAAGGAGGCAAAATGGGGCTCCCATGAGCGTGGGGGAGCCACAGTTGCAGTTTGAGAAATAACAGACTGCACCTTGGGCATGATCTAGACATGAATCAAGATGTAGGGCCTAGAAAAAGCCTCAACGGCTAGTTGACACTTCGCATGTCAGAAAAAGAAAGAAAAAGGAGAGAAAAAGGAGGGAGAATGAGACAAAAAAGGATTTGAAAATGAAAGTGAGACTATGAGGAGGCTCTAGAGGCAGGCCGAGCTGGTACCAACCACTCGGACTGCATGTACCTAGCCAAAAAGAGGCTCAGGTGCCCTCAGAGAGGCCTAGTGGTGAGAAAAAGCCTTGGGGGTACCTCGGTTCACCATGGGGCACATGGAGAGGCCCATGGGCTGGCCAGAATGTTGTGCCCAACCTATATAAGCTGGGGGAGCAGTCCACCACACGCACATTTGCATGAGGCAAGTACATGCTGCCCGCATGAGCCCAAGAGAGCTCTACACTCAACTGGAGTGAGAGGAGGGGAACCATCGCCAGTTCGGAAGCTTGGAGGAAACTGTAGGCTAGTGGGAGAGGTTGTTGAGACTAGTGGAGGTTGTGCCAGCCTAGGGAAATAATCCGCCATGCCCCCAGGCTGTGAAGGAGAGAGGGAGGCTAGTAGGGGTCCATTTAGCCCTCCTAGAGGGGAGAACTCCATAGCCTTAGTGGTAGGAGTTTGCCATAGCTTGAGAGAGACTGAGGAAGGAAGGAGATGAGGGTTTGAAGAAGAAGGAAGCCATAACTGGTTTGCAAGAGTGCAAACAGGGAGGGCTTTACTAAGGCTGGCATCTCCATATCAAGATACTAGAGGACACGAGTGAGAGGCTTTTTTTTTTTTTTTTTTTTTCCCTTTTTCTTTTTTTTTTTTTTTTTTCTCATCTTCTTCGCCTCTTCCTCTTCTTCCTCTTCTTCTTCTTCTCCTTCTTCTTCTTCTTCTTCTTCTTCTTCTTCTTCTTCTCCTAATTAGTGTTCACTTTTCTCCATCTCCTTCCTCTCCTCTCTCCCCCTCTCTCCATAACTGACATACTAAGCATGGGAAGATAGGAAGTAGCTTCTTCACTAGAGATTGCCTTCGTGTTGTTTATATTTTCCCACTTCAAAGTAATTCGCCACTTTGCATTTTGATTTTCCATGCATGCAAGTGAGTTTCATTCACTCTCCCTTCACTTTTTGATGATCTTTCCACTTGGGTGTAAATCGCAATCCTATTTCTTGCTCTTCTTAGTTTTGATGCCATCATGTGCTCATGATTTGTCCATTTTCTCACTTCAAAGTATTCTGCCACTTTGCATTTTGATTTTTTGTGCATGAGAGTGAGTCCCCCTTCACTTTGTGATGATCTTTCCTCTTGGGTGTAAATCGCAATCCTATTTCTTGCTCTTCTCAGTGTTGATGTCATCATGTGCTCCTGGTTTGTCCATTTTCCCACTTTAGAGTATTTCGCCACTTTGCATTTTGAGTTCCCACTCTCCCTTCACTTTTTGGTCTTCTTCTCACAGAGGTATGAATCACAACTCCTTTTCTTGCTCTTCTCAGTGTTGATATCATCATATTTCCCACTGCACAACATTTTGCCACTTTGTTGTTTGTGTTTCCAAGCTTGGGAGTGAGTTTCACTCACTCTCCCTTCACTTTTTGGCCATCCTCTCACTTGGGTGTGAACCGCAACTTCTTTCCTTGCTCTTCTCAATGTAGATGTCATCATGTGCTGATACTTTGTCCATTTTTCCACCCCAAAGTATTCCGCCACTTTTCCCTAGGTTGGGAGTGAGTTTCACTCACTCTCCCTCCATGCTTAGTCAATCTTTTTCACTTGGATGTAAAGTGCAACTTTAATTCTTGTCCATTTTGTTGACATGGCCGCATGTACATAGTAGATACTGTGTATCTGTGGCAGCTCACCTGCCATGTGCTCTATTTGAATGACTTATTAATCCCCCCGTGCTTTGTTTGCTTCACCCCCACCCTGTGCTCTATTTGAACACGATAAGAAAGGGGAGTAGGTAGGGGACTGTGGCTGCTGCTGCTGCTGCAGATGATGATGATGATAAGAGGTTGTTGTTGTTGCTGCTGATGCCTGGCCAAGCCCTTGCCGCTGCCGCTGCTGCTACTGAGAAAACCGCTGTCCAAATCTTGGGGCAAAGGTTGGGTCAAAATAGCCAACGGGCCGGTACAGCCCGGGCTGTTGAAAACCAACTTCGCTAATCAAAGGATATGGGGGCTGAGACTGAACAGGCCCCATATCCTAGGCACATATGGATGACTTGCAAAACCGCCAGGCCATCTGAGTCCATTATCCTGCAAAAACGAAAAATGGACTTCCTCGAACTGTTCACGTAGAGCCTCGGGCGGTGCCCGAAACAGGCAGATGCCCGAAACAGGCAAATAGGAGCAAACGGCGATGGAATCCGGTCAAACTTTAGGGAGGTTTTCAGTAGGGTACAGGCAGAAGGCCCATGAAGTTACATGGACATCTGACGTTGTTTGGGTCACCAAACGCAAATCTGTGTTTTTCGGCTCTCTCTCCCTTAGCGAA